TTTCATAAAACTGATACTATCACCACTGGGCTACTTTTTGATAAATCCATGAACTGTTTTGACTCTTTGCTTTCTTATCTCTCTTTCAGTTCTTAGCACTCCTGTCTATTCCTTTCTTTTATTTATTTATTTTTTACTAGAGGCCTGGTGCACAACATTCATGCACTGGCGGGGAGGGTTGGGGTCTCTCAGCCAGGCTTGCACCCTCTTGCAGTCCGGGAGCCCTCATGGGATGTCCAACTGATGGCTTAGGCCCAGACATCCTTAGTGCTGCCACAGAAGCGGGAGAGGCTCCTGCCACCACTGCTGCGCTCACCATCCATGAGCCTGGCTTCTGGCTGAGTGGTGCTCCCCCTGTGGGAGCACACTGACCACCAGGGGGCAGTTCCTGCATTGAGCCTCTGCCCCTTGATGGTCAGTGTGTGTCATAGTGACCAGTCGTTCCACTATTTGGTCAATTTGCATATTAGCCTTATATTATATAGGATATTATATAGGATTGTTGACAGTATTACAGATGTCCCCTATTTCTCTTTCCCTTGCCCCTTTCCATCCAACCCCCACCCCACACCAGCCCTTTACCACATTATTGTCTATGTCCATGGGTTATGTATATATGTTTTTTGGTTAATCTCTTTCCACCTGCAAAACTGAAACTCTTAAATACTTCCTCATTTTCCCCTCCCCCTAGCTCCTGGTAACTACCATTGTACTTTCTCTTTCTCTGAATTTGACTACTATAGATACCTCATAAAAGTGGAATCATGTAGTATTGGTCTTCTTGTGACTAGCTTATTTCACTTAGCAGAATGTCCTTGAGATGGTTCACTCATGTACTATGACAGGATTGTCTTCCTTTTTAAGGCTAAATAATACTCCGTTTTAGATGTATACTACATTTTATCTATTCATCTGTCAATATATTGTCTTTTATAAACTTTGAAAAAGTACTTTGTTTCACCCTTTACATATGATCATAAACATCATGTGTGTGTGTGTGGCAGCAGGGAGAATGGTTGTGGTGTTATTAAATTGTATTTTTCTAAACTTTATAGCAAAAAGAAGGATCCCTTTTGTCTAGTGAATGATCCTCAACTTTATGTTTTGGATTTTTGTATTTAAATTTTTCTCTTTAAGTGAAACACATCTTTTATTAGGAATGCAACAACAAAAGGGAAGATTGTGTTTGAAATTAATGATATCTGTGTACGTCAGGATATACCACCATTTGTCTTACTTCATCCACTCCTTTGTGTTACTAGCATCTCTGTGCTTCTTGTTCCATGCACTAGAAATTTTGGGGCCCCCTTTTTATAACATGTATTCCGTGTATTGATTTTGTCTTTCCAAATGGAATAAATTATTTTTTAAAAATATAGTTTTACTAGAGGCCCAGTGCACGAATTCGTGCATAGATGGGGGCCTGTCGGGAGGAGGAGACAGCAGGAGGTTGGCTGACCGGCCCCTCAGGTCCGATCGGAGCCTGATCAGGACCGGGCTGGCTGGGGGAAGGGGCTGAGGGCAATTGGCCAGTGGGCCCCGCCCCTGATAGGGGTGGTGAGGGCAGATTGGGTGTCAGCAGCTGGGGGAGGGGTTGTGTCAGGTTGGCTGGCCAGCCCCACCCCTGATTGGTGTGTGTGGGGACAGTAGAGGACAGAGCTGGCTGGGGGGAGGGGCCGTGGGCTGATTGGGTGGTGGGGGCCGATCGGGGGCCAGCGGCCTGGAGGAGGGACCATGGGTGGTTGGCTGGCCAGCCCTGCCCCTGATTGGAAGGGGGGGACGATCAGGGGTGTTACTGGGTGTGGGGAGCAGCTGCAGGCCAGTTGGGGTGGTGGGGGCCCACTGGGGTCAGGGTTGGCCAGGGGGGTTGGCCGGCCACCCTGCCCTCGATCAGGGCAGGAGAGGCCGATCAGGGGCAGGGCCAGCTGCAGGGAGGGGCTGCAGGAGGTTGGCCAGCCGGCCCCATCCCCTGATCAGGCCGGTTTGCTGGCCGCAATGGGCGTCATAGCAACCGGTTGTTCCAGTCATTACAGCATTCCGGTCGTTGGCTTTTTATATATATAAATCGATTTTAGAGAGGAAGGGAGAGGGAGAGAGAGATAAAAACATCAATGATGATAGAGAATCATTGATCAGCTGTCTCTTGCACAACCCCCATTGGGGATCGAGCCTGAAACCCAGACATGTACCCTTGACCAGAATCGAACCTGGGACCCTTTAGTTCACAGGCCAACGCTCTATCCACTGAGCCAAACCAGCCAGGGCTGGAATAAATTCTTTAAAGCAGGAGACGTCTTATGTTATATCCTCTAGTCAGGAGCATAATAGAAGTTACTCAGAAACTACATATTCAAGGAAAATTGACTTATCTTGTACTCTTCACTAGTAAAAAATGTTTACATTTGCAGACAAGTGTGTTGGGGGAGAGAGAGAGAGAGAGAGAGAGAGAGAGAGAGAGAGAGAGAGAGAGAGGAGAGAGAGAGATGTTTCCTGGTGAAAGCCCAGAGAGAGAGAGATGTTTCCTGGTGAAAGCCCAGGAAAGAGAGCAGAAGCTGGCATGGGGTCTTTAAGGCTGTGGACTGATAAGGCTGTGGTCCTGAGACTTCTGTGTTGCTGTCCTCAGGAGAATCTCAGATTTCTGCCCTCTTCCTAATCTCTAGCCTGGATTTTCAACTGTTAGCAGGGCAGCTGGATCTGCATGTGCCTTATGCTTCTTAAATGTAGTAGCACATAGTAGGAATGTTTAATAAAAGTGATTTTTCATTTAGCTGATAGTATATGAAAGCATTTAACACAGGTCCTGACATATAGTAGGTACCCAGGAGGTGACAGAAGAGAGTATGTGAGAAATATTTTCAAAGTTAAATCTTTCTCTAGGACCCCTACCTCTATTCCTGTGCCTCCACTCCTACCCTCTTGCTAAAGAGATAGGGGATAGCAACATGGATTCCACCTTTGGGAAGCTTCCAGTTCCTTGTTTGTGGCTTTATTCTCGGGCGAGAAAAATAATCTCCCCTAAAACCTCACCCTAGACTGAAAATGTTCCAAACAAACGAGCCTGTCTTGTCACCTTAGGCAACTTTTTTTAAAAAAATATATTTTTTTATTATTTCAGAGAGGGAGATAGGGGCTGCCTCTTGCACACCCCACACGAGAATGAGTCCACCACCAGGGCATGTTCCCTGACCGGGAATCAAACCATGACCTCCTGGTTCATAGGTTGATGCTCAATCACTGAGCCATTCCGGCTGGTCCCAGCACCTGTCTATATAGACAACCTTCTTAGTAGGGACCTAGCCTTGAGAATCTTAGTGGAGAAGTGTATGAATCTCTAGGGTAGTTGTGGCAAGGTGGTGGGTTTATGGAGTTGGGCATGAGTTTAACTTAGCCAAGATAGCTTGTTAGGTGCAAGTATGGAGAAAGGGATACGGTAGAGAGAGAAAAGGGCTCAGCTCTGTGTCATTTTCTGCTCATAGGGAGATGCAGGCACTTGTGCCAAGCACAGAGCTCTGGCCTGCTGTGTCTGTCACCTCCTGTGAATGTCACCTCCTGGCTGCTCTGCAAGGCATTTGAGGTTAAGTAGATGAAATAGGGACTCTGAATCAGATAGCCTTGTTTTAAGTGTTACCGGTTTGCCGGTTGGAAGTGTGCCTCTCAGGATCTGTTTTCCTTGTGCCAAAATTAGTGGAATCCCATCCAGATCTTGGAGGGTTTCTCTCCATCCTTCTTATGCCACCTCAGCTTACCTTGATCTTAAGCTTTTATCCCTTTCATCCTATCACTGGTCTGGCTTCTGGGAAGAGGAGGGAAAAGGATGAGGAAAGATAGGAAGAGTTGAATAACTGGTGGGAGGTATGTGGATTTGCTATCCTTACATGCTTTCTGGAACAAAGTGTAGGTGGGAGGAGGATGAGTGAGTGGGTGGGAGAACAAACAGATGTCACCTGTACCACTTGTTTGTCCCTCAGCCTGGACCCTTGCTTGGTATTCTCAATCTCCAGTGTTATTCCTCTCTCCCATTTAAAGTATCAGCATATATACCCATGTAATTTCATACCAATGGAATCATACCTTAGAGCTGTTTTTTTCTTTAATACTGTTTTGTAATCCTTTTTTTTTTTTTTACCTCCCCCCTATTTTATTGAAATATAATTGATATATAACATCGTGTAAGTTCAAGGTATACAATGTGATGATTTTATATACATACTAGTATATATTGTTAAACGATTACCACATTCATCACCACACATAGTTACCTATTTTTTGTGTGTGGTGAGGACTTTTTTTCATTTGATTGTATGTTATGGACATCTTTTCATGTTAACCAGTACTAGTATAGAGTAAGTGGTTGAATTATATTTCAATGTGCCGCTATACCATAATATATTTTGTTCTCTAATATTTAATCTATTTATCTCACATATTACCAATGGGGCCTTTCCTGACCATACCCTTTCTTAAAATTGTAACAAACCTCCTTCCTTTCCTATCTCCTTTATTTTTTTCTATAGTATTTAGTACCACTTGATATACATTTAAAAATATTTGTTTATTGTCTAACATGCTCCAACCATTAGAATGTAAGCTTCATTAAGACAGGGATTTCCCCCCACCCCCTTTTTTTTCTACTACTGTATACCTAGTGCTTAGAATCATTCCTGGTCACTATTGGTGCTCAATAAATATTTGTTGAATGAATGAGTTTGTTGGACTTTTTGTGTAATTATTAAGTTTTAATTTGCAATATTTTTGTTATTGTGTACATTCTGTGATAAATACCCTGGTATATAAATTTAGCACACTTATCTATCTCCTTAGGATAAATTCCAAGAAATGGAATGTCTGAGTTAAAGGATTATGCACATTTAAATTGTCAATTCATGGAGCCAAATTACCCTTAAGAATGTTAACTTCTATCAACAGTGCATGAGATTGCCAATTTCTCCACATTATGAGTAACACTGGGTTGTGTGTTTTTCGTATTCCCCATCTCATAGGTGAGACAGGTCTTGTCACTGTAACATAATAGTTGAGAATGTGATTCTGGAGTCAGCCTTCTGGGGTGTGAATTCTGACTCAGCCACTTACTGTGTGTCCTTGGGTAAGTCATTTAACTTCCCTCAGTTTTGTCTTGGGTAAAGTGGGTATAATGATAGTATTGATTTCATGGGGGAGTAAATCAATTCAAGTAAAATGAGTTGAAAGAGTAATTGAGATGTAGCACACAATAAGTATAATTTAATTTACTTTTTTTGAATATTAAAGATAGAACATCTTTTCAGAAGTATCTTTTCAGATGTATTTTGGACATTTATATTGTGTCTTTGGATCACTTATTCATGTCCTTCGCACATTTTCCCCAGTCATATTTTTCTAATAATTTGTAAGAGTTAAAGTGTTGACTATTATGTATGGTGCAGAATTGTTCCCAGTTTGTCATTTGTCTTTTTATCTTTGTATATGCAGGTTTCTTCCTGCCTGCAAGTTTTACAATTTTAGGTAATCAAAATAATCTTTTCCTTTATAGTTTTCTCTGCTACTAGGCCAATCTTTTTTTAAAAAACGTATTTTTATTGATTTCAGAGAGGAAGGGAGAGGGAGAGAGAAATAGAAACATCAATGATGAGAGAGAATCATTGATCTTCTGCCTCCTGCATGCCCCCTCTGCCCCCCTCCTAGGGATCGAGCACACAACCTGGGCATGTGCCCTGACCGGAAGTCAAACTGTGACCTCCTGGTTCATAAGTCAATGCTCAACTACTGAGTCACACCAGCTGAGCTACTAGACCAATCTTTAGAAAAGTCATGTTTTAACAGACTGACAGCTGTCAGAGGGAGGGGGTATTGAGGGGTGGGGGGGAAAGCTGGGTGAGGTAGGTGAAGGGATTAAGCAAAAACAAAACCCAAAGCAAAAAAACAACTCATGACACACACAAAAGTATGGTGGTTACCCAAGGGAAAAGGGAGTGGGGAGAGGTAGAAGAGGGTAAAGGGGAGGATAAATGATGATGGAATGAGACTAGACTTCGGGTAGTGAACATATAACACAATATACAGATGATGTATTATAGAATTGTATACCTGAAACATATAATTTTATTAACCAATGTCATCCCAATAAATTGAATAAAAGATATAAATATAAATAAAAAAGGCATGTTTTGTTAGCTCAAAATTATAAAAATAGTAACCCATTCTCTTTGAGTACTTTGTGTATATGTGTATTTTTAAATCTTTAAGTCTTTAAACCACCTGAAATTTATTTTCATATGAAGACAGCTATTGTGATCTGGCTCCTTCTTTTTATTTTATTTTATTTATTTTATTTATTTTTTTTTAATTTTTTTTATTTTATTCTTTAAAAAATATTTTTATTTCAGAAAGGAAGGGAGAAGGAGAAGGAGAGAGAAATAGAAACATCAGCGATGAGAAAGAATCATTGATTGGCTGCCTCCTGCACACCCCCTACTGGGAGTCAAGCCTGCAACCCGGGCATGTGCCCTTGATCGGAATTGAACCCAGGACCCTTCGGTCTGCAGGCCGACGCTCTATCCACTGAGCCAAACCAGCTAGGGCTGGCTCTTTCTTTTTAGTTGGATTGTTTCCCAAACCCATTTATTGAAGAAGAATCATCAAGAGTAGGAGCAAGAATGAGGAAGGGCTCTCCTTCAGGAGAATCTGTTCTCCCCTCCTTTAATTTGAAAGTAGGATATCCTAGAGATAGCAAATCTCCATTTCAAACTCAGTCAATAGTCAATAATCATTCTGTTGCTAAGCTGTGGAATGAATATGCTGTGTAAAGCAGTTTGGGATCAGAACTAACAACTTGACTCTAAGTGATGAGACTGCTCTGCTCATTGGTGCAATTCTCCACTGGCTCTGGAGGCTCCTCCTAAGTGGATCCTAATTTGGGGACTGATTTGAAGGGGCATTGTTAGTTTGCAATAATAAGTTATGTGTTGTTCGAGAAACAATGTGACTATAGCAGATATTTTCTCACTGCAGCCTGGGGGTATTGTTGGGGTATTGATAGGAAGTATTGAATAGTAGTAAACTCACTGTGTTATAGGTCTGCCCTTACTAGCTCTTTTGGAACTCTAGTCCCATCCAGTTGCTTGCTTCTGACTCAAGATAGAGGGAGGATGATTCTTGTAGAGCATCCACATATCCCATGGCAGCAGCTACTCTCTGCCAGAGATAATAAAGAAGGGCAGCTAACTCTTACATGGCATATATTATGTTCTAGGAACTGTTCTAAGCTACACACACACACACACACACACACACACATATATATTCTTCATGAAGTAGATCCTCTGTACTGGGTTGAATAGTGTCCACTCAGAACCTGTGAATGTCATTTATTTGGAAATAGAGTCTTTCTAGATGTAATCAAGCTAAGATGAAGTCATATTGGGTTAGGGTGGGTCCTAATCCAATGACTGGTGTTCTTATAAGAAGAGGGAGACATACCAGAGGGAAGATGGCCAGATGAAGATGGAGGCAGAGATTGAAGTTATACTGCTACAAACCAGGAATGGCAAAGATAACTAACAACCATCAGAAGCTGGAAGAGGCAAGGAAGGATTCTTCCCTACAGCCTTCTGAGGGAGCACAGCCCTGCTGACACCTTAATTTTTGACTTTTAGCCTTCAAAACTGTGAGAGAATAAATTTCTGTTGTTTAAAGCCACCCAGTTTCTAGACTTTTTTACAGCAGCCCTAAGAAACCAGTATACACTCTTATTATCGTCTTCATTTTCAGGTAAGGAAATGGAGGCCCAGAATGGTCAAATATTTGGAGATCTCTCAAGGCCACTGCTCTGCTGGCTGGGCACTTACCCTGAAGCTCCTGCTGTTGCTGTTGTCAGCTCTCCACATTCACCACAGCCGTCAGCTTCTGGTAGTGCTGGGGCTGAGCTGCTGGAATGGCTCCTTTGTGTCACAGCAGGCCCAGCCTTTTCCCCATCCTTGCCCACTTCACATCCTGAAGCAGAAACTCTTCTCATGAGGTTTCTGGCTATAGCCTGATCGTTTCACCAGGTCTCTTACTGACTCCAACCCTTTAGGCTTTACTTTTCATTTCCATGCATTGTCAGAGAAGTGTGGGTGACATTTGAGGGGAGGGTCACCCAGCTCCTGGCAATTGAATTATGCTTCTCATTTCTGGCCCGCTTATGCTTCCAAGAATTTGTCAGTAGACAATTCAAGTCTTTATTTTTCTTTGGAGCTTTTAAGATCTCACACATAGCTCATATGGCACATATCACAGTTCATGGCTGTGAGCAGAAAAGGAGCTGCTTCCTGGTAGCACTGTCTGTGGCTGCCCCGGTCACCTGCGCTTGATGAACACAAATCACCACAGTGCCTCTCTCCCCTACCACTGGGAATGGTGGGGATGAGGACATTATTTGACCCAGCTCTTCAGTGTAGCTCCTTGTCAGCCCATGGTCTCTTTTGCTGGCATCCCAGGAGAGATTTCCTCCTCCTGCATCCTGTTGCTGGCTCTGGAATCTCGTCTATTTTCCACTATAGACCTTTTTTGCTTTGGATCCTGCTCTTATTGTCAGCTCCTCTCACTAGACTGAACTTTGGGAACTCGGGAACCATATATTTTTTTTAAAAAATATGTTTTTATTTCAGAGAGGAAGGGAGAGGGAGGGAGAGATAGAAACATCAACGATGAGAGAGAATCATTGATCGGCTGCCTCTTGCATGCCTCACACTGGGGATCGAGCCCACATCCTGGGCATAAGCCTTGACTGGGAATTGAACTGTGACTTTCCTGGTTCATAGATTGATACTCAACCACTGAGCCATGCTGGCCAGTCAAAACCATATCTTTTGTTTGCTGCTATAGCCCAGGACTGAGCAAAGACCTGGCACTTACTAGCTAATCCCTCAGGAAATGTTCATTGAATAAAGAAATGAATGTTGACCTTGAAGCTTTGGAATCCTAGTTTTTCTTGCTTCTTGTTAAAGCCAAGGATCAGATTAAGAACTTTAGAGGCAGCCCTAACCGGTTTGGCTCAGTGGATAGAGCATCAGCCTGCGGACTAAAAGGTCCCAGGTTCGATTCTGCTCAAGGGCATATACCTTGGTTGCAGGCACATGCCCAGTAGGGGGTGTGCAGGAGGCAGCTGATCAATGTTTCTCTTATTGATGTTTCTAACTCTTCTATCTCTCTCCCTTCCTCTCTGTAAAAAGTCAATAAAATATATTTTTTAAAAAACAAAACTTTAGAGGCCTACACAATAGAACAATCATCATGTCCCTCATACTTCAGCCTCCAGTATATATATTTTAAGAACAGTATTAAAATAAAAGTATAAAGAAAATCCAGCAAAATTACCATGGTGACTGCTTGGATAAATATTAAATAATTTAAAACATTTGTTGTTATTGTCTCTGCTTTGCTAGTTCCCTAAGCACATGCTGTTGGATAATCCTGCCCTGACCAGCCCCTCCCTCACCTTGAACTTCACTTTTCTCTTTACGCCATCTGCTGAAGCTGCCAGCTAGCCCCTTTCACCCCGCAGTGGTGTCTGGCTCCTGAGACCCCAGCCTGGGTTTGTGCCCTGGACTCCCTGGGGGTTTGCCAGAAAATCAAGTAGAGCACTGCTAAGGAGAACTCCCATGCTGTCTTGGAATTATAGTCAGCATAGCACATTGTGTTACTTAGGCCATTGTAGTCATAATCTGCTTCCTGATCCTATATGTGGAAAGCTTAGGAATTTTCTTACAGTCTTCCTTCCTGGATTACTGAGAGAGAAGTCAAAACACAGGTTCACTCTGCCTCCTGTATTAAGCTGGGTCTTGCTGGGATCATTCAGAGAAGTAAGGTGTGATTCTGGAAGTGGAGCCCAGACTTCCTACAGGCTGTTCCAAGGTTATGACCATAGTCAAATCCAGTTGCTGCTTGATTCTAAGGAGTTTAAAATAGTATTGGAAACCTCCTAGGAAAAAAATCACCACCGTAACTTCTTGGCTAAGGAAGTGGTGTTTGCTGGCCAGAGTAGAAGGGGTAGCCAAGCCTTGCAAGTTCTATTCTGGACCTGTTGATTTGAGGTGTGACATTCAGCATTTTGAGATTATGTCCTGGAACTCTGATGGTTTCTCATCTCATAGAGAGTGATATGGGCTGTGTTTGCAAGGAAAGAGGCCAATAATAATGTCCTCTAGGAGAGCCTCACTATTTGATGTCCCTTTGTTTGAATTTCCAGGCTCTTTAAATACAGCTCCTCCCCTCCCCCCCCCTCCCCATACACACTTAATATAGGAACCCAGCAACATTATCCACATTTTACTTGAACTTATTTAATCAGAATTGCTTTCCTTTTTAGCAGTGTGATTAGATCAGCTCCTCTAAGGGATGGAAACGTTGATAGGGTTTAGGAAAGGAAGGAAAGGTTTACGCAGGGCACATACCTTGGCCTTGGACAGCCAAGGAGTAACATGAGGGCACCAGGTACATGATGTGCTAGATGAGGAAGAACAAACTCACATCCCTGGAGAGCCAGGCACGTAATTAGATGCTTTTCATATATTTTCTTATTTAGTTACCATAATGCAAACCAATAAATTATCATTTTTGCATGGGCAAGCTGAAAGTCATTGAACTTATGTAACTTACCCAAGGTCAGACAGTGAATAAAAGGCTGAGCTAGGATTGATTTCTCCTCAGGTCTGTCCACTTCCAAAGCCCATGCTGTTATCACAGCTCTTGTCTCTCTGACAAGCTTTAGCAAAAGAGGGTGGGCAAAAAAAGAGAAGATGGGGAGATGCCATCTTTCTGTGCTCACAGTTTTGCTTGTTGAGACCTGTTTAGCCAGAGCGTCCTGTTTATAGAAAACTAGGTTCTATATATAGAGATGCTATAACAACATATGTGGGAAAGATACCAATTGGCTGTAGGGGAGGATTAAAAAAAGCCTTTGTTCTTTACTCTAGGTCTCATTGCAGTGTAACCCACAAGTGTCAAAACACCACTGGCAACACTGGTTTAGTGTGTAAGAGGCCCTGTCCTATTCAAATAAAATCTGTTGGTCTATCCCAAGCAGTAAGTAAGTCATGATGGGGCAGAGGTGAGGGTGTGGTGTGCCCTTACTGCATTTCCTGGAGCTGGTGGCACCTGTTATGTGACTATTGCAGTGAATTATTACTGAGTAAACAAGAGGTGTCTCTCTCTTGCTTTTCTAAGGGAGACCAGATGGCAGTGGGTGTTGGCCAAGATCCAGGGGATCCTGGCCTCTGCGCTGGCAGAATAGACAGCTTGAGAGGTCAGGTGATGGAATAAGAAGAGACAGAGCTAGTCTATCAACTGATGTCATGTTAGGGGACCTAGAATGTGTCCTGCCCCTCAAAGACTTGCCTCAGCGATTTGCTATTGTTTGGAGTTCCATAGTGAAACTTTCCCCCTAGATTTAAGTCTTTGAGACCCTACTAAAAATGAGACTCCAGGAAGGGGTTTGATTGTGAAGCATCCTGGTCATCTAAGTGGAAGTGTGATTCAGCTTATGAGATTAATTTCTGAGAACTAGATTAAAGCAAGGGACTGAGAGGAGAGGACACTGTGCTCCTAGTCATAGGGACAGGAGGGAGACACCACTGAGTTGGATAAAAAGGCTCTGCAAAGAGAAGTTGGGTCCCTAAAGAAACATTTTGTTTCCTTCACAATTTTGTCTGAGAGAAAACCAGCAGCTGAGGGTGGTGGGGATGGAGGCTCTTGACCATAAGAAAGGGTGTGGGGCAGAGATTTCCTACCTGCGTGCTGGGTATGCAAGCACATTATTGTCTGGAGAGCAGCTGATAGGCAAAATGTAACAAGGAGTGCAGGACCTTTGGGTCTGTGGTTTGCTGTTATGTCCTCAGACAAGACTGTCACAGGTCTTAGGAAGCAAGAGGAAGCTTCACAGAAATGATGTAAAGTGGTGGCGCAAAAGAGGCCGCTGATGACAACATCGGCAGGGTACTTCCTCAGTGACCGCTGGTCACAGACAACTTGTGGTCTTGATTTCCCAATGAGTTGTGCTGAGCCGGGGCTTTATGGGAAGGCAAAATAAGCCATGTCAAAAGCAATGACAAAGCACTTGGGTGTACGTGCACGTTCCCTTGATCACTAACTTTATGGAGCCAAAATAGCTAATCCAGAGGCTGCCAGCGTAGCACCTGTGATTCAGATCTACAACTTTTTGGCCTGAGTTACTTCAAAGTGAGAGAGCCTTCCTAATTGACTGTGCATCTTCATGATCTGAATTTTCACATTTTTTCCTCCCCCAGGGGATCTCTGACAGAGGCAACCCAAACCTCTGCCTTTCCCAGCTCCTCACAGATGGATTCATGGATGTCCTTCACTCTTAGGCTTCAACTTTACTCTGTTTACTTTCCTACCCTAAGTCAAGAGCATTTTATTTTTTTAAAATATATTTTATTGATTTTTTACAGAGAGGAAGAGAGAGGGATAGAGAGTTAGAAACATCGATGAGAGCGAATTATCGATCAGCTGCCTCCTGCACACCCCCTACTGGGGTTGTGCCCGCAACCAAGGTACATGCCTTTGAGCAGAATCGAACCTGGGACCTCTCAGTCTGCAGGCCAACGCTCTATCCACTGAGCCAAACCGGTTAGGGTGAGAGCATTTTCTTTTTCTTTTTTTTTAATTTTTATTGATTTCAGAGAGGAAGGGAGAGGAAGAGAGAGAGATAGAAACATCAGTGATGACAGAGAAGCATTGATTGGCTGCCTTCTGCACGCCCCCTACTGGGGATCAAACCCAGGACCCTTCATTCCACAGGCTGACCCTCTATCCCCTGAGCCAAACCAGCTAGGGCAAGAGCATTTTCTTTTGATCAGACTTTTGGTTTCATTCAGACCACTGACGTTCTTACTCATTTCTTCTGGCATATTTTCCTAGAGAGCTGTCCTAGAAATGATCTCTATCACTCACCTCCTAAAGTTTGACAAGGTTTGGACTTCCATCCTTACTGGAATGAGTACAATGCTGTGGAGGTTTCTGGAGGTACCACACCCCATCCTTTCCCCCCCCCAACCACTGTAGCCCATACACAAGATCAAATGATGTAGCTGGATCTGCTGATCACCAAGATTTTGGAGCCAGTACCTCCAATAGGGAGGGACTCCTGGTCATGTGTACTATGCCCTAAATGACAATCTACCTCCCCTCCATGTCACCTATATTTTGGCTTTTTATTAAGAGTATCAAGCTCTGTCCAATTGCTTTACTCAAACCCCCTCGCCATGTCAGGACTCCACCCCTTTGTCAATTCCTCACCAGGGGCTGTGGCCTTTGCTTTGCAGCCTCCTTAGGCCAGGTCTCTTCTCTGATACTAGAGCCTTTTCTTTCTTTCTTTTTTTTTTTTTTTAAATATATTTTATTGATTTTTTACAGAGAGGAAGGGAGAGAGATACAGAGTTAGAAACATCGATCAGAGAGAAACATCGATCAGCTGCCTCCTGCACACCTCCTACTGGGGATGTGCCCACAACCCAGGTACATGCCCTTGACCTGAATCGAACCTAGGACCCTTCTGTCCGCAGGCCGACACTCTAACCACTGAGCAAAACCGGTTTCGGCTAGAGCCTTTTCTTACATCTAGATTTTGG